CTAGGGCAGAGTTCGGCTTGAAGCAATCGGAATGATGAACCGATGACCAATGTCTCGTTCAACCCAGCTCTTCATGAACTGCAATCGTCGAACGGCCCTAGAACACATAGGGGTCGATACTTACGAATACTATTCATACTATTCCCTTATACATGTCTTATAGTAACCCTCAATACCCCGTCTTACAATAACCCTCAGTACATCCAACCCAAAACAATAAACCCTAAACCCTAAACCCGAAATAAGCCCGTTTACGAGCTAGACAGAAGTTGTTAAGTCTAACGCTGTGTGAGTAGATGTTCTTTGCCATTCGTTTGTTGGGACAAGAGCTGGGCCTCTGAGCCTTCGCACATTGTCCAGTTAGGGTTTAGGGTTTAGGGTTTAGGGTTTAGGGTTTAGTGTTTAGGGTTTAGGGTTTAGGGTTTAGGGTTTAGGGTTTAGGGTTTAGGGTTTAGGGCTTAGGGTTTGAGATTTAGGGCTAGTGTAGATTGTCTGGCGGCTCGAGTTTGGCAACGTGTTGACGCAGGGACCTGCGGAAGGTTGGTTGGCAAGGTGATGTTTATTTCAGATGCACGGATAGCGAGGACATATCTGCGAATGTATCTCTTTGCTTCCGGCTTTCGACACGTCTTGCAGTTGCTGAGTTCCTCTTGGTTGGACATCGCTTCCAATGTTGGTAGTCGGGAAGAGCTTGATGGGTCCTTGAGCGCAGGCCGTTGGTGCTTTTGCACACGAGATTGGGGGAAGTTCTCGGGTCGTGGTTTAGCCTCTTTCTGTCCAACTCGTCACTCCTCGATGACTTGTAACATAGTACCTACGTCGCGAATGACTCATGATGTCGGCTCGAGCTTCGCGATTGTGATCCTTGAGGCTTGTCTCGTGTCCATTTCTAATCGGCATTTTGGCCCAAACACGAAGCTTCAGGGTTTAGGGTTTAGGGATGTTTAGGGTTTAGGGTTTAGGGTTAGGAGTTAGGGTTTCCATATAGCTTTATTGCCTGTCGACACGGAAACCCCTAGAAGTTCCCAGCCCCGCCTTGTCTCTGCGCAACGGCTTGGCCTCTACGGCGCGCTTCGTCGGCCTGCGGGAAAGAGGGCGAAGCGGAGAAAGCGGAGCCGCTGGACCAAAACCTCGGAGCCTCCCCGACTTCCCCTTTGTAGGGTTTAGAGCTCAAGGTACTGGGCTTGGTGTTCAGGCTTGCTCAAGCTAGGTTTATGAAGTTTTACACCTGGGGCTGTAGCATTTGGAGTGTAGACGTCATGCAAGGCCGCTTAACCTACTACCTGTCCCTACTCATGCAGTGAGCCCATGCAAGCACACCCACCGATCGTGATCTGCATTTGCTGCAGCATCTCGCCGTGCACATCATTGAGCTGACGTTTTGTGACTGCCTCTGAAGGCATGCGCTTCGAACAGCGAGCACAAGCCTGATATCAATACCGCCACCCATAGTTGCAGCAACAGCTGCGGAACCAATGTCACCAGGTCTCAACAAGCCTCAGAGTCTATACGGCGGCCCTCGACCAAGCCCCTGTGCCGAGTTGGACTTAAAGTGCAGGGTTTGGGGACTCCAGGCTCCATAGTTTGAACCTCTTGAACCAGTCCTTCTTGGGCAGAAACAAGGAGAGTTCCCAAACAGTGTGCACACACCTTGGCTTCCTTCCGACGTTGAGCCTAGGGGATCTGATTCGATCACCTGCCGCGACGCGCACATTCTGGGGCGTAGCTCTAGCCTCGGCCCGCCGTGCAGTCTGGGTTCGGACTCCCGCCAAGGTCCCGTTTCTCAGGCAGGTTTTGAACCTCGCTTTCCTCGCCAAAAATCCCGTTCGGGCGTGCAAGGCAGGCTTCTCGGAGTCAGTACTGACCGGTACTGGTGGACTGCTGTGGTCAGAACTCGAGATGGCCCTGTAACTACCTGCTGGGGATAGGACACCAGAAGGATGAGCTGCGCAAGCCTTGAAGTGGGGGAAGCACTTTCTTGAAGATGCCATCGTAAACTCTTTATCCCTATATAGCCTAGGGGGGCTTCCTTCTGAACCTTGCAACCTGAAGAAGCGTCAACTTAAACCCCGGCGCAACAACCTCGATCCCTCTGCCCTTAAACCTTTTTCGTACTCCCCTGAACCCAACGTCCCTGAGCCCTCCTGGCACCCATCGGCGGAAGGCTGAGCGGAGGTCCACGGACCTTACACTTCCGGCTTTCCCGCTTGTGGCTTGGTCAATGCTACATGCAGTTGCTTCTCTTGTGTCTCGCATCATGTTCAAAAACGTGTGGGAATGACCCTGTCCACCCATGCTCTAGGGCGCTTCACACACACACACCCACCCACGCACAAACGCACACACGCACGCACGCACGCACGCACGCACGCACGCACGCACATACACGCACACACACACACACAGACAGACAGACAGACAGACAGACAGACAGACAGACAGACAGACAGACAGAGAGAGAGACAGAGACAGAGACAGAGACAGAGACAGAGACAGAGACAGAGACAGAGACAGAGACAGAGACGGAGACGGAGACAGAGAGACACAGACACAGAGACAGACACAGACACAGACACACACACACACACAAAAAGGCTTTGGGGGTTTCGGATCTATAGAAGCTTATGGAGTCTTTAGTTTTCAAGGCTTAGGCTATACGGTTCAGGGCGCTGATGGCCTTCAACTTTAGCGTTTGCTGCTTAGTACTTTAGTGTTTCAGGGTTCGCAAATCATGGTCAGTTGCAAGTCAAGGGATCAAAGTCCGAGCTCCCACCATAGGCCCGTCGCGGCCCCAGAGCTGTGCGTGCAAAGGAGGAGACGGGGGGGGGGGGGGGGGGGGGGGGGGGGACAATAAGGGCCATTCATATGCCGGCCTTGCCCAAAACATGGGCATTTACGGCGTTTAGCATGTTTGGCGCTTATGGAACAAGATACGAGGTCACAAGCGCTTTCTTGCCCTTGGCGAAGATGCCCAAAACACTGGTAGTTACAGCATGTTTGCTTCTCTATACAACATTTTTGTGGAACAAGACACGCGGTCACAAGCGTTCACGCCTTTGGCGAAGATTCCCAAAACACTGGCATTTGCAGCATTTGGTTTGCCTCTGCACACTTTTTGAGACTTTTTATACAACATAAGCAAATCAAATCTGGTACACTTATTCGACTCAAGCCGGCTTCGGTGATTGCGTCTGATGACCCCTGAGACAAGCATATGACACTGTACATGTCCAGCAGACAATTTGACTCCGCTTTGGACTTTGCTTGTCAGAGGCCTCGTTGATGAGGATTACAAAACCCGCAGGGTCTGTACTTCTTGCCCCCTTGTGCATAGATGCACTGTGGAGTGTGATACGAGTGGCCCTTCTGACGAATGGAAATATCGTGCTCATAAGTAGTGCTTGCGGCCGGAGGAGCAGTACTCGAACTGGAGGACGCGGCAGCGGTTGTAGAAGACGAAGTAGTCGGCATAGGTGTCGAGCTCGATGGCGTAGAGGTCGTCGTAGTCGTAGTGGTTGTAGACGTTCTGGTACAAGATCTGTCGCAGCAGATAGCCACTGCTGCAGAGGTAGCTGAGATCAGCATCACCAGAATGACCAGGAAAAGGTCATGCCATCCAAAGTCTTGCGGTTGTGGCAGTGACGGTTGTGCCCTGGCAGTAGACATCAACGATGAAGCAACCAGCACATAGAACAGCTTTGACGACGTAGCCAATGCTGGGATTGCAATGAACCAGGCATCCTTCTCTTGCAGCACTGTGTCACCCGCCAGCAAGTCATCTTCTGACACTTGGGCAGCGGGCGGAAGTCGCTTCATCTCCAGGGGATGACCAGTGTTCCAGAACTTGATGACACCTGTCGTGAGCCATTCCATGAGGCAATCTGAGACCATGGGTTTCGTCAGAGCATCCGCGGTCATGCACTCGGTGGGCGTCAGAATGACCCATCTGATGCGCCCGGTGGAACGGGCTTCACGATGAGCAAGGATGTACAATCGTTGGGACTTGTCCTGAGGAAGCGCCTTGGCACCAGTACTCAACTCCCAGAAGTCTCTCGCGTCCGTGTGCATGTCGACCGGAAAGTACACACAGCCTCTCTCTTGAGTAGCTAGAAGCTGCTGGATGGTAGGAGCTTTGCCGCCGTAAGTGATCTCGGCAAGCCGCGTGCTGACCAATGTAGCACATTCCAGACCATTGATTGCCGCCAACGTCTCGCCATGCGAAGTTGAGTAGCTCACTCTCTTAGCCTTGTTTGATTGCATATGCAGCAGCTGGGCCTTGCCTGACAATCTTGCGCGCGCAAACTCATCGCTGGCGATCACATGGTTCTCTTTCACATCTAGGTAGTCCGCCATGAGCACCACGATCACGCCCTCCTGAGCGTAGTTCTTCGTCGAGCTTGCTGCTGAGGCATCGTGAATGCACACAATGCGGTAACTCGAGCACTCCAAGTCGCGGTACAGGATGGCAGCCTCCTTGTCACGTTGCGCTCGAAGAACCAGTTCATTTGCGTCCTTGAGATGCTTCACTTTGGCCTTGTTCATCACTGACTGCAAGGTGGACAACTCCGCGAGGAGGTCGGGACGAGTCAACCCTGTCCACATCAGCCCGCCAATGGCTGATCTCAGAGAGGTAAGTTCAGCTGGAAGTAGATCACGATCATCTGGGTCGCCCTTGACGATTGGAATCAGCTGCAGCATGCTTACGTACTCACTCTGATCCACCTTGATGCCATCAGCAATCTTGGAGTATCGGCATTCGCAGTGGCTGAAAGGCAACGTTTGCCTGGACAACTTGCCAAACTTTGCTAGCATCTTCTGGAAGGTTTCATCCAACCACGTCCTTGCTCCTTCAACGGCCAAATCATCCACGTGAGTGGACAAGGAAGAACGTGGCCACCGTCCAGGTTGAGCATGTGGCCAAAACCAGTAGCATTCATCAAAATGTGACCGAACACCTCCAAGCTGCTTCAAGTACTTATGGAGGTAGAGCTGCCATGCCAAAGGAGCCTCACTCAAACCGTAGACAGGCTTCAGGCAGAGCAGGACGTAGGCAGGGATGTCCTCATCGGGGATCTGGAACTTTTTGCTGAGCTTGCGAAGGTGACGCCAAACATTTCGCGGCGGCACTATGGCGATCATCCTTTCCACGCACTGCATGCCCAGCTCCTTGAGTTCTCGCCACAGGCTCTCGTAGGTCAGGCCCTTCAGGAAAGCGCCGGCGATGTCCCAGCTCTCAAGGAATTTCGTCCTGGAGTTGGAAGCTGATGTGAGGATCATTCTTTGGGACAATCTGGTTGCCGTTGATGATCTGCTGCTCAACTCATGCTTCCACGGGTCATGACATCCGCGTGCACACAATCTGCTTTTCACCATGCGTCCATTTGGCATCTTCTTCCACTTTCTCACCCATATGGCATCAATGATGGCGCAGTCCTTGCCCAAGGAGTCTCGTCGCACAGCACGGAAAGCGGACTCGTTGACAAACTGTCCGACTTCCTTCTCGTCAGCCTCGTCCACCAACGGCCAAATTGGAGCAACCTGACTCTCATCGATGTTGTCAGTTGTGGCATCGACGCGGAAGATGTTGCCCACATTGAGATCCGCAAACCAGCCAGGAGACCTCATATGAAAGATGCCCGCGGTGGTCGCCGTAGACACCGAAGGGTCGTAGTCAATGATGTCGGGCGGATCGTCCTGAGCAATGTCGATGATGTGCTGCCTTTGATGCATCATGAGAAAGGTTTGCGACATATGTTCCGAAGGTGGTGTGGTGAAGGAAGTTCTCTGACGCTTGGTTTCAGGCCCGATGACAACAGTCCTTGACTCGGGCCCTTCACGCTTGTTGTCCGCAGGGTCCACTTCCATTTTGCCGTCGTCGTTGCTGGCGCCATCTGGCATTCGGCGCTCCTGAGGATCATGTCGCACAAACGGTGACTCCTCCATCGGAACGCCTTTGGGTGACCATGTCTCAGACGGAGGTTGCACGAAGTCGGAAACGTAGCTGTAGAAGTAGATGTAGCACATCTCCTCTCGCCCCGCGACACGGAAAGCCACCGTTGACATGTCGTTGCCCGAGGGGTTGTCGATGATGGACATCTGCACCGTGTTCTTGCGCCATGCAATCAGTGTGCCGGTGGTTCTGGCCGGCGTAACCATTTTCTTTAGTCCAACACCGACACGAATTCCGTGACATGGTTTGGCAGTCAAGAACTGTGCAGCGGAGACAATGTCATTGAAGATGGCCTTCTGCTGTGCTTCACCAAGTGACCGTGGCAGTTTCACCCATTTGTCGCGGTTGTTCTTCAAGTGGCCGTAGGTATCGATGCGGAAAGGTACACAAGCTTCCACGCTCTCCATGAGTCGTCGCAAAGCAACCCATGAGTCAAACTCTTGCCGCTTCCTGTCCTGCACGTTTCCATGGAAGTCGTTGTAGTAGGTACCGCGGAAGATCCTGAGATTACGCATCGGTATCAAGTATGGCCTTCCTTGGTACTCCACGATGGCAGAGCCGTTGTCCTGCAGCTTCAGGAGAAGACCTGGTCCACGCCAACCAAGTCCATCAGCATCTTCACGATGAAATTCAATCTCGGTGACACCTGGCTGCATGTTCTCGATTGGTAGACGCTGAGGTCGAGTGTGTCCTGCCCTCGCAATACGGTCCTCAGCGATGGACTGAGCTGCAGCAGTGAGAGCCAGTTGCCGTAGTCGAAGAGCTCGCTCGTAGACCGTAGGATTCACCTGGTCGGCCCCAGTGAACGCCTGTATTCCCGGAGCGTCGATGTCGTAGTAGGGCATCGGAAGCGTTCCAGTCACCATCATGTGAGGCGAGTAGCCACCGATGTTGATTGTGGCGTTCTGAGCGAAACTGGCCTCTGCTGCTATGTCGCCGAGATCACAGTCTAGCCCTTGACGTTCAGCTTCAGCCCGTAGCTTAAGCATGCAAATCTTCGCCAAGTCAACGTGCTTCTCCACCAGACCGGTGGTCGTGTGCTCGCCTTGAGCACGCCCACGTGTGGTGCCTGCGGGCGCTCTCTGGATGTTCAGCCGTTCAAGCTCAGCAGCTGCCTCGTGGGACATAAGGCACGACTCCTGATCGGAAATCAGCTTGCGCATGGGACCAAAGTAGCGCAACCAGTGCTGGAGGATCGCATGCAGAGCTGCTTGAAGGTCTCGGCCAGGAACCTTGATGATCGTCTTGTACCTGGTCGCAACGTCGATCAAGATCATGAACCATTGGTCCCAGAGCTGGAAATAGTCCGCTTGGACCTCGACATTAAACGATCCTGGATGACTTGTCTTGACCACAGGCTTGCTCTTCAGTCTGCTGTATCGTCTGCAGATTCCACAGCTTGCGATCGTCTCAGGCACCATCTTCAGCACTTCGCTGGGCATTCCTGCTCGGCTGAGCAATGACTGAAGGTCACTGGCATTCGCGTGCCAAAATCTCTCGTGAAGTCCCAAAATCAATCTTTTGGCCTGATCTGGATCCGACCTGGCCAACCTGGGCAGCCTGACCAACACACGGCGGAAATCGAAGTTGGTTCTCCTGGGCGGATCGAGCACACCACCATCCTCGGCCCCTGCCTGCTCAGCATGTTCAGCTTCCTCCTGAGTCTCCTCGGCATCGAGCTCGTCCTGACGGCTATCAGCTGCTCGCGCAACAGGATCTTCAGGAGGTTCTGGGTCATCATCAACAACACGAATGGTGAACTCAGTCGTGCCGGTCCAGCGGCCTTGTTCCAGAGCCGCCCTCGAACTCTCCCGTGATGTCCATTCATCCTTGATGACCACCTTGGGACCTGGAGAGTCGAAAGGAATGGCGACGGTGGTCCGTGTAGCCTCGAGCTCCTCAATGGAGAGGGGCCCTTCATCTTCTCGAGGAGTGAACATTGCAACTCGCGGTTGTGGATGATGTCTTGTTGCCCGGCCGCGGGCCTTGTCGATCTCCCAGTAGTCGCGGTCCTTGGGTGAAGAGCCGAAGATTGCTATGACCCATTCTTCGCTGTAGACCTTTGCCTTCAGCTGGCTGTCGGTGAAGGTGCGCAGGTCCTCGATCGTCTTCATCGTCCATGCCTTTACGTCGCCCTTTATGATCATCCTCAAAGGTGCCGAATCTGTTCGAAGGAAAGGCATAGGAAGAGGAAGCGTCTCACAGTGAAGAGAAGTGCTCACACCCTTGACTGTCATGAGCCTCGCCAGAATCTTTCGTAACACAGCCAGATGCACAGGGTCCTGACTCCAATGGTTGTGCTTGCCCTTCTTCGCAGAGATAATGTTGACACTGTCGTTGACCAGTTCCAGGAGGAGGCTCTTGAGCATCAGTGTATCCACCGCAGTGAGCTGAACCTCTGGAGGCAACTGCAACTTTACTTCGTCCAGGTTCTGTTTCTTAAGAGCTCGTTGTTTGAACTCATCCATAAGTTGCGGCAATGGCGTGACCACCGCTGTTCGGACTGGAGGTTGAGGTTGCGGTTCATCAGGAGATTCACGGCTTGAAGAGGCTCGGGCGTTCGGTGTGGGCAAGGAACTGGCATGTCGGCATTCTCGTGGAACCAGAGTGTGTTCCGTTCCGGGAGGTGCGTTTCGCCCTTGCGCACATTCCGGGCACTTGTACCCGATGAAGCTCGCACTATCATGTCTGGCCACAAACTTCTTGATGTCCTTGACCATTGCTCGGCAGAGCTGGTGCGGTCGAACGCTCGAAGAGTGGCCAAGCTTCCTTGTGTACGATGAGCAGCGTGTCCTTGGCGGTGTCCCCGGCAGCGGTGAGTCGAGGCCCGGAGAGAGAAGTTGCTCTGAAGGCCGACCGATCTGTGAATCGGGTGGCCTTTCTCATCTGTAGCCCCATAGGAGCAGTGATCTGCGCGTTGTCGTGGTCGACATCCAGGTATGTCCTGCTCGATGGGCACGAGAAGTGAACTTCTCCATGATGACGTGTTCCAATGGGTCTCGATCACAAAACCTCGCTTGGCTTCCACTTGTCGGGATACCAGCTCACGCACAAAGTTCATCACACTCTGTTCCTCAGCTTGCAGCGCGTCACGTTCGCCCGCACTTGCATCCTTAGTTCCGGCAAAGGACGCTGGCCCAAACGGCGAAATCACAATGACTTCAGGCTCTGACCTCATCTGTGCATCAAGTAGGCATTGTTGATGCCTTGGGTCAGCGATGTTCCATCCATATCTGAGGTCCACAGGGAAGACAACGGACAGCCCGGCAAGGAGTGCAATGTATGACAGCCGTCCAGCACCAACACCAATCTCCCAGAATTGGCCCTTTCGCTTTGCCCTTTGGCTGTGTCGCCACTGGTCGTAGTTGCTGGGGTTCACCGCTCGGTAGCCTGACTTTGTGTGGTACTCCTCCGTTGTGCCTTGATAGAAATTTGACATGGCGCGAAGACGATGGTCAGGTAGCTCATGTGGGAGAGAGTCACCTTCGTACATAGTCGGCCTGGTGAACAGAGACTCGACCTCGGCAGCGAACATGACCTCTGTCGTGACGACACTGGTGGGCAAAACACTTGACGGAGACGAGCTGCTGTGTAGACGCCCCGCAGTCTCGAGCGGCGCTGCTGTAGCTGTCGGCGGTAATTGCTCATCTATGAACTGCACGCTCTTCTTTTCACCAGTGTCCACTGTGGTCTTGAGTGTTGGTGGCTCCTCGGCGGTTGAGTCCTCGTAGTGCATGACGTTCGGCTTGATTGTCGTCAATGGTGGGTCATCATGGTGACTCCGCTTTGGCTTTGCTGTCGTCGGCCGCATGTACCATGTTCTCACGTCTGTCCAGCGCTTGCGGGAGTTCTCGCGGGCCTTGACCATAAAGCTTCGAGCCTTCTCGGCTTCAGCCTGGTACTCCTTGGCGTTCGATTTCTCGTCCAACGGCAGGAGGTAGTGCTTGGAGTCGGTGTACAGCAAGCGGATGAGGCAGAAGTCGTTGTCGCCCTCGGGGATGATCAAAAGTCCATCCTTGTTCTCGAACCAATTTGCTGCCAGCACAGCTCGCATGCCAACCAGCGCGGGATTTCCAACTAAAGCCGGACACATGCTGGCCTCGCCGCCGATGACGTCCGCCTTGTAATGCGCACCAGTGACGCCGTCGAGCATGGGCAGCATCATTTTGATCTCGCCGAGGGTGGTATCTGCCGAGCCGCTTATTCCTGTCACCTCTGAGCGCTTCGATTTCCACTCCAGCGTGTCGTTCACGACCTGTGCTTGGTCCACGTTCGCCAGCAGGTCGCGGAGTGTCTCGGAGCCAACCAAACCATTCGCCGCTCCTGGGTCGATGATTAAACCTCGTCTTCTGTGACCATCGACCGTGTGAAAGATCTCATCGACATCGGGCTTCTCGTGGTAGGTCCTGTGCTTCTCGACGTTCTCGTCATCACTGTCGCTGCTGCTTTTGCGGAAGAAGAATGCCAGGTTCTTCTCAAGTTTCTTGTTCGCCTCGACGCTGTCCTCGGTGCTCGCACGTGCTTCAGCTTCAGCAGCCAATGGCCGCCCGGTTCGCTCCAGCTTCAACAGGTCCTCGAAGTATTCACTCTTGGTCGCGGCGTCGGAGGATATGTTGAAGTACTTGGTGGAGGCCTTGGCAGACGATGTCCTCTTCGGAGAATCTCCAAGATGCAAACCTTGTCGGACATGGCGAAGCTGGTAGTCGTAGTAGGCGGCTTCGTCCTCGTAGTTCATGTAGTAGCGTGGCCCCCAGGATCCTTTTGAGCCGTATCCCTTGCCACGCCCCTTGTAGCCGCCGTTGCCCTTGGGTCGCCATTTGCCTTTTCCTTTGCTCTTGCCTTTGCCGAAGTTGCCTTTGCCGAAGTTGCCTTTGCCGAAGTTGCCTTTGCCCTTCGGAGAGCGGTCCGGAGAATACGACTGGCCTTTTCCCCGAACTGGACAATCGGCTGCCATGTGCCACTTGCTTCCGCAAACGTGGCACCCGGTGCCGAAAGCACCTTTGCCTTTGCTGCGCGCTCCACCCGCACTAAAGACGCCGTCAGGCTCGGGCTCCACCGGACGACCTTCTCCCTGGTAGCCTGGCTCCATGGCAGGCTCCCCGGCCCAAGCTTCGTACTCATACGGGTCGAAGAACTCCTCTTCGTCCTCGTACCAGACTTCCTCGCCAGGGTACTCTTCCTCGGCATATGACCAGGGATCCTCACTCCACCATGCTTCAGCCCAGTAGCTGGTGTCCTCTTCTTCCCAGGCCTCGCGCGCAGAAGAGTTCTTGTCGTCCTCGTAGAACACGTCTCCAGTGTTGCCAGCCTTTTCGACGCGATGGGACAAGCGAACAGCCAGGCCCCTGATGTCGTGGAACCTGCTGAGGTCGCCGTGCACCTGAAGCCGAAGGTCATCCAAGTGCCGTTGTGAAAGGCCGCTCTGCTTCATCCACAAATAACTTTTCGCCACGTTGTTCATGTCCAGACCGGCCTTCTCTCTGGCTTCCTCGTATCGCAAGTCCCATTCGGCAGCGTACTCCTGGAGCTCCTGGTTGTGCGGGCGCCTGTGCTCAAAGAACATCTCCAGCGCCCGCGTGGTCTGCGTCTCATCTGTGTCGCCGAAGGCATCTCGAAGAGCATTGCACAGCGCTTGCACTCCCGAAGGGATATGGGCCTGCAGCACAGTCACTCCATCGTTGGGGTCGATGACCTCGTCGACGCTCAACCTGACCAGCGCTGCATCGCCCACATCGTAGGTGCCGTCCGGGCGGATCAACTTCAACTCCAGAGCAATCCGCTGGGCACGGCCTTGAAGCCTTCCTGCCACCAGTGGCCCAATGACTTCGTCCGGGCATTCTGTGCAACGGTACCACAGCTTCAACTTCGCAAAGTAAGTCTTCAAGGGATATGCTTCAACACCTGGTCGCCAACCAGGCGGCGTGTCTTTTCGCCACTCGTCCAATGGCACGCCTCCAGTCGATGGAAGTGCCATTTCTTTCACACCGAAGCCACGCAGTAGATCTCGAACTGATCCGTGTAGTAGGCCTTGCGGAGAAGCGTGTAGAAGGTCCGGATCACCTCCTGGCAGTAGGGCTCGTTCACCGATGGCCGCCGGCGCGTCGCCGCCAAATGAGGCAGTGGTCGCCCAGAGGCCACCGCACAAGGAGAAAAGAAGCAGCAAGATCGCTGCCAAAACTTTGGTCCCCCGAAGGAGTCCGATCGTGGTGCTCGTGGGTCGCAAGACCGAAGAGGTCGTCGAAAATCGCGTAGAAGATGTCGTCGTTGTTGCGGGCCACAGCACCGCAGTCGTCTCGGGAGACGAGGTCGCCGAATGGCGCAAGAGTAGCCCTCTGGCAGGAGACAAAGCCCCGCTACCAGAATCAAATCTGGTACACTTATTCGACTCAAGCCGGCTTCGGTGATTGCGTCTGATGACCCCTGAGACAAGCATATGACACTGTACATGTCCAGCAGACAATTTGACTAGCACGAGAACGCTGTGCCCGAAAAAAGCGTTCAAAGTGCAAGCACTTCCAAACTCGCACTTCGAAAGTGTCCAAACGTGGCCGCAGTGTTTTTGTGCACGCGATCACGAAAGCCTGGGTGCAGTGTTGATTTTGAGGATAGACAAGACACGTCTAGCCAATGTTCGACACGCAAAAACCTCGAGGTTTGAACGTTTTCCGACGTCCAACTCCACAATGACGCGCGCAAAACACGCGGGGCCGTAACGAGCAGCGTTGCCTACTTCAGGGCTTAGCGACATGTCGGGTCTCCGGGTTTCTCTGAAACCCCCCGAAAGCCACCCCAAACCCTGAACCCTAAACCCTAAACACTAAACACTAAACCCTAAACCCTAAACCCTCCCTAAACCCACAGCAAGGCCCTGACGCCAGTGGGGCGGAGGTCCCCCGGGTGGAACGGGCCTCGCCTTAGACGGGCTGGATGTTTAGGGTTTAGGGTGGAGGGTTTAGGGTTTAGGGGCTTTAGCGCTGTTACAGTCGGGTTTTGGTGGTTGTTCGGGTCCAGGGCTTCTACAGCTTTATACATGGCGTTCTAGGCTTGTGCACTCCCGCCCCCGCTGGCCTGTTGCCGAGGCCGGCCATGCTGTTGAACCGACTCCACCAGATTCTCTGGCTCCCAGAAAGCCCGCTGCTCACTACTCCCTACAGCAACTCCCGAGAGGCGCGCAGAATGGCCTCCGCTGTGCGGCCCTCAATAAGATGTACCTCGCTCAACCGTAGACTGTTCTCTCAGCCACAACAGGGTGTGAGGGCTCTGATCCTACATGTGCGCATTCAGTGAAACGAGCTGAGCCAGTTGGGACGGAGGCCGGCGGTGCTGGGCTTTGTGGATAACATGACACTCGGGCTAATCCAGATAGTGA